GCCACTTGAAACAAATGTTATAGTTTCCTGGAAATATTAAAGCAGTTTTAAAGAGAAAGAACAAAAATGCACCTGAAATCTACCTAGGAAATTGATGAAAATAGAGTTTCACATGGAAACAAAAACCTGGGTTTTTTTGTTTGTTTGTTTCAGATTTATTTTTCTTAATTTATTTCTAGTGTTAGCTTTAATTTTGACATCTGAGAAGTTTTATATTGGATGTGATTCTTTCGTTACCCATGAATGGGGCAAATAAGAATTTTGCATAATTGCTTTTGCCTCTTTCTGAGGTTTAAAGGGGAAAGACCCATCACTGAAAATTTGAAAAGCCCTGGGGTATCAAGACACATATCCAAATAAACAGATATAATATCACCACCGAGAGTAATGCTATAGTGTTCTAACATTTGAAATGTCTCTGTGCAAAATTATGATAAAGAAGGGAACATTATCTTTAATTTGATTTACTCTTCTATCAGGCTTTTCTATGTTTGGTCTACAAGTATAAAGAAGAATAAAAATATGCAATCTTCGTAGAGAAAATAATATCCCTTAAGAATCATAATTATTAAAATATAATTGTTTATCATGACAAAAGCAATTCAGTCTCAGAGTGAAGGAAATCCATTAGAAAACAGAAAAAGGTTACACAAAATTCATAGGATTACTATTGCTTTCCTGTACCTCAAACTAGACCAAGTAGAGGACTAAACCTCATATACATTGGAAAGGCTGTGATAGCAAAGAAATGGACTAAAATATTAAAGGGTTGTGTTATTTCTGATAGCCAAATTCCATCCTGTGTGTGGCACATTAGACACTAATGACATACGATTTCTCACTGACAGATTAACAGCATCAATATGGCTTCTCTGTCCATCGCAGCAAATTGATCCTACATGACACTGACAAGGGCAGCCTGCACTTAATGACCTCCATTGCTGAAGGATGGGAATGAAAAATGGCTGAAAGTACAAATAAATCTTGAAAGTTTCCTGAAACAGGTGTGCTGAAAGTGATTCATTTGAGGGATCACAAATGGAAGCCAATGCCCAACAGTGGGCCCTGCCTGCCTGTTCTTAACAAACTCTGCCTCCTTGTATCCTGTATGAAGAGTTGCTTCAATTTGATCAAAGAGATGAGAGGATGCTCTTAGTATAAAAACAGGATGCTACGTCTCTTTGGGTTCTGTTGCTGTGATAAAACATCATGAAATAAAGCAACATGGGGAGAAATGTGTTCATTGCTTCTTAGAGTTAAGGTCCATCATCAAGGGAAGTCAGGGCAAGAACTCAAGCAAGGAAGGAACCCGGAGGCAGGAATTGAAGCAAAGGCCATGAAGAGTACTGATTTCTGGTTCTAGCCTCATGGTTTGCTTAGCCTACTTTCTTATAGCACTCAGGACCATCAACAATTCCAGGGGTATTGTTGCTGATGTTTTCTTGTCCCACCAGGTCCTGCTGCCATGTTGTCCTAAATAAACACACAGACGCTAAATTAATTATTAACATGTTGGCCGATGGCTAGGTTTTCTTATTGGTTATCTTTGTCTTAATGATTGACCCATTTCCATTAATCTCTGTATTCCCACATGGTCTTGGCTTACCAGAGAATGCTTGGATCTGTTACTCCTTTATGGTCTACATAAAGTCTTCTTTCCCAGAGCCTCTTTGCCTAACTTTACCAGAATTCTCCTCATCTCCTAGTTCTTCCTATCTTCCTGTCTCCATTGGACAAACAGTGTTTTATCCATCAACCAATAAGAGAAACATATATACAGAAGGACACCCCATATCAGGCTGGTACCATCCAAAATGCACCACAGGATTGCCACGGGTCAATCGGATAGAGACATTTTTACAGTTGAGGTTTTCCTCTGCCAAAATTACTCCAGCTTGTGTCAACTTGGCATAAAACTAGCCAGCATACTAATGCTAACTCTGTCATCTGTCACTGTCTAAGTGTCCACGCTTTTTTTTGTTTGTTTGCCCCTTGATTAAGGAAAGACAAAACATATTAACTATTGTCTCCTTCTTCCCAGGGCCTAGCAATACACCTAACATACTTGACCTAAATAGCAATGCAAAAATGATTGATAAATACTCTATCTAAACAGAGAGATACTTCTAATCTTGAATTATGTTTTAAGAACACTAAAGATATGGTCAGATGGTTGTGTTTTCAAATCTTTTCCAAACCCACTTATCTTCTTATCTGCTACCATCAGCTAGTAATTTAATAAACCTGTAAAGGCACATCCTTCTAAACAGAACCCTTGAAGGGAGTTCTAAAGAGCAGTCTTCTGAAGAGCATCTTCTAAAGATGTTCTAAAGAATCCCCTTCTAGAGAACATCACAAACCTCAACATAAAACTAGTTACACTGATTCTGATAGAAGCAAAGTGGGGAATAGCCTTGAACTCATCACACAGGGGACAAATACCCGACCAGAACACCGATAGCACAGGCACTGAGATCTACAATTAACAAATGGGACTTCATGAAACCGAAAAGCTTCTGTAAGACAAAGGACACTGTCAATAAAACAAAGCTGCAGTCTACAGAATGGAAAAAGATGGACGAGAAACACAGAAACATTCAATATCCTTAGCCATCAGGAATATGCAAATCAAAACTACTTTCAGATTCTATGCTATACCTGCCATTTGGCTAAGATGACTAATTTGCCTGTTCTTGGAACCTTTCTCTTCCTACTGAGTTGCTTTGTTCATCCTCAATACAAAGGCGTCTACCTTGCTTTTCTGTATGTTCTTTTATCCTATTTGTCTGTTGTTCTTTGCAGACCTGTTCTTTTTTGTTGAGGAAATGGAAGGGAAGTATATCCTGGGGAAACAGGAGATGTGCAGGGTGGGCTTGGGTAGCTGGAAAGAGTGAAAGGAAAGGAAACTGCACTTGAAGTGTATTAAATGTATTGTATGAGAGAAGAATCTATTTTTAATAAAAGAAAAGAAACAAATGGAGAAATACAAGGTGAGGGAAACAAAGCAAAAATAATGATAAAGTGAAAACACACACACACACACACACACACACACACACACACACACACACACACACACCAAAAGTGGAGAGCCATGGTAGGAGTTATAAGAGTAGAGTGTGGCAGCAGTTTTACTTCTAGCTCATCTTGACTGTTTCTTCCAGGTTTTACTCATGACTATTGATGTTGAACAACTAATTACTCCTGTACTTATTTACCATAAATATATTTAATAGTAGAATTTACAATTAAAGTCTTTTGTTTGTTTTTTTTAAATTAAAAAAAAGGGTACTTTCTAAAGAGGTCCTTCTAAAGAACATTAGTCTAAAGAGATGGTGGTAGTTTGAATAGGCTTGGTCTCAATAGACTCACGTGTTTGAATGCTTGGTCCATAAGGAGAGGTACTATTGGGATGTTGAAGTCAGTGTGGCCTTGGAGGAGGAATTGTGTCACTGTAGTAGCAGGATTTTTGGATTTGAAATGCTTAAGCTAAGTCTAGAGTGGGGTATGGTTCACTTTCTGATGCTTGTGGATCAAGATGCAGAACTCTCAGTGTGTCTGCCTGCACACAACCATGCTTTCCTCCATGACAACAATAGAATAAACCTCTCAAACTGTAAGCCAACCCCAATAAAATGTTTTTAAGAGTTTCCCTGGTTATGGTATCTCTTCCCAGCAACAGAAACTCAAAAAATCAGACAAAAGTCCTCCAGAAGATGTCCTTCAAACATCCCTCCAACGAATGTACTTCAAAAGAAGTCCTTCACGATAGTATCTTTTGTCTCAGTAATAATCATCTGATTGATATATGAGAAACAGGAACATACACAAGTAGCACACAGGTGAATACAATAATTACAGCCACATAGCTTCCTTTTGTTTTAAAAATGACTTTTATGATTTCTCTTCTGTTTTATTATCTTGTGCAAGGAGTTTTAATTTTTAGTTGAGAAAACTGAGATTCAAAAGAGTAAATAACTTACAGGGGATCATTGCAATACTGTATGATGGAACATACTCTATACCCAGGCTTGTGTCTCCCTAAGCATTCCACAAGAGTGCTGAGCATAGAACTGGCCTTCTAAATTGCAACTCATAGCACACCCACATGGGCAATGCCAATATGAGAAAAGACTCATTAACTCTGGTCCTTCTGGCTAGCTCAGTTGTTAAATAATAATACCATTCTTTTAATTCTTGAAAATTGAACCCAGAAGCAAAAGGTTCATAGGGAAAACAACCTATTATTGTGTCTAAATGCCTGAGGAATATATGGAACATGGCTATATATTGTGACTCCCCTATAATACAGTTCTTCGCCCCCTTTCTGTCTCATGGGAGATCTCATTTTCTTTTTGATTTATGTATGCTTTCCTTTTACCACAACAGAGGGCTTTAGAAATAGATGTACAATTTGCTGCCATTTCCAGTAATGAGAGAGAGAGGTGACAGATAGATAGATAGATAGATAGATAGATAGATAGATAGATAGATAGCTGTAACTGCAAATGTCTAAAGGATCTTCACACTGAGCAAAAAATTAAAAACCCCAAAACCCAAATTTGGGGTATATATATCAAAAAGAAGTTTATAGAGTTCCATCAAGCAATGTCATGTAGTGTTATAATTAAAAAAGTAAGTACATAATATCATATGTATACCTATAAAATAAGAAAATAATTATGATATATGATCATAACAACTAAATGCAAAAAAATTACTAAACAGATCACAAACTAAGAATTTTTAGGTCTTAAATATCTTTTAAAATTCAATTCCTAACATCAATATTATTTAATTATGTAATTTCATGTAGCTATTACTAAATTACATAAATATGCAATAAATCTTAAGGAGAAGAAACCATACCTTTTTTTTTTTTTTTTTTTTTGTGGTATAACTAGTCTCCTATTTAAGACCACACACTTATTACATTAACTCTTTGGAGGACTCACTTAAGATATTTAATATTTTCAAAAAGAAAAATAAAGCAGCAATACCTTTTTCTTGTCACAAAGGGAGGAACTGAGTGACAGCAGTCTGTCATATCCATTGAAGTAGGCATCCTTCTCCTTTAAGAAAATCATCTGCATGCTTTGATACTCTTTAGCTAAACGCAGGTTTTCTGCTAGTGTCTCTTCTTGAAGTTTCTAGAAGAACAAAATGTATGAATGTGTATATATATAATATATATATATATATATTTAAAATCATTCAAAACTGTAGAAACTTTCATATTTTTAAATACTCGAAATATTCTGACACATAATATAGAAAAAGAAAAACAAAGTAATTTTAAAAATTATGCTCCTTGTTTATGCTATTTTCTTGGGGTTGCAGGGATTTGGGTTTCTTTCTTCACTTATAAACAGTGATGTGTGATTGTGTGATTTGTCTGAGTGTGCCTGCCTTTTGTCTGACCCTTGGATGGACTTCTGTCAGCCCTGTGCCCACACGGGTAGAACTTCTGTCTATTGAATTTGGGTATTGACACTCAGAGAGAAAACACTAATAAAATGGGAGGCAAGAGGATCATTGAGAGCCTGGCTTGAAAAGGATTTGCCACACCAACAGGAGGACACATGTTTCATCCTGGGAATGCAGGTTAAAAGCCAGGCTTGGTAGTGATGAGTTACAATCCCAGCACGGAGGAGGCAGAGAAAGGAGGGTCTTGGGGCTTATAGTTTAGACTGATCAGCAGGGAGTCCCAGCCCCAGTAAGAGATTCTATTTCCCATAGGGCAGCTCACCTGCACTCCTGGGAACTCATGGACTCTGAACCAACAATTAGGGAGTCTTCCTGGGACTAACCTAGGCCCTCTGCATGTGTGTGACAGTTGTGTAGCTTTGTTTGTTTGTGGGGCTCCTAGCCATGAGATCATGACCTGTCTCTGAGACTTAGATGGCTTTTAGGAACCTGTGCCCCATGCTGGATTACTTTTGTCTTGATACAGGGGGAGGAGCTCTGAACTGAGACAGAGGAAGTGTGGATGGGGAATAAGAGGAGAGGAGGGAGGGGGAAACTGTGGTTGGTGTTCTGAGTAAATGAAAAGGTTAATTAAATAAAAAAATTAAAAATGCATTTAGAAAAAAAGAAACAGATAGATGGCTCCAGAGGAGCCACACCTGTAGTTGTCTTCTGACCTACACACACACACACACACACACACACACACACACACACACACACCTACAGAAAATAAGTAAACTGTAATAAAAACTAAAAGAAGTTTGCTCTATAAACTTCAAAAACTGTAATTTCTTAAAAGACTTCTATATTTTCAAAACTAATCATCTCTTTGGTGCGAATCCATTCTTTCCTAAAACACCTTAATAAATATTTCACCTTGCTGATAAAGAGACTTACTATAATGATTAAACTGCTAGTTATAAAAATAACTTTTGCTAAGTAATTAAAAGACTCCTGTGTGAATGGTACTATCCCATCAAGCTTTGGTTTGTTGTTAGAAATCACACATAGTATGAGAATATGAATAGGAAATGTAATTCAGCAGAAAATTGTCTATACAAATATTTCTATACTTATACAGTAAAGATTTATGAAGGACAACAGACATATTTTTCATGAAGACTTGGTCTCCCTATTGGTCCTGACTGATGAACACTGTCACAGGTGATCTTTAGGAAGCCAAAATGATGAGCTGAGAGTCATTTCAAATGCCCTTGTCCTAATTCTGGGACAATTATTCAAAATATTATGAAGTTGTATCTTTCAAACCTACCTAAGTTCAAATAGAAATATATTTTTGAGGACAAAGTTTGTGAATATTTTCATTTGGTGTACTCAACTTTTTAAGTGATAGCTGTCATACTTTTGGATACCTAAACATACATTAAAATCTAACTCTCAGTTGGGTTGAAATCCTGATTAATGTCCTTCTGATGTCAAGATAAGGATCATTTTGAGTTTTTTGTTTTTAATATTTTTGATTGTTTATTTTCTTGTATGATTCATTAAAATGAAAGCATTTACAAAATTTTCTTTGAAGTGTTATGATTGTTTGTACATGTGCAGTCAGTTACATGTGTGCAATTGACTGTTCGTGTAGGTCAGAGGACAATCTTGGTATGAAACTTTGTGAGTGGAACATTGGCTCACAATATTAATTCATTCATTATTTAATCCATTTATTTTCTCATTCAGTTATTTAGTCAAGACTTTTTTTATTTAGTTACTCAGACTTGATAGTATGCCTCAAGGATTTTGTAGTATTATAATATTTGTTAACAAATTACGTAAGTATATAATTAGACTATAGTATTCCAGACATTTTATACTTTTGATTTGCATATATATTAAACTTATCCAAAAGAACATTTCTCAATATGGTACTTATTGTCATTTATTTGGTTCTCATTATTGAGGTTGATTGAAATAATGAATATTGGAGAGTAACTGGATAAAGAAAAGACTCATGAACACCTGCTAATGGTTTCCATGATTTAATATGTAAACATTTAACATGATATGATATCTAAATTCACTGTTAATCTTTGATTAGGAGATACAACAATTTTCTTCAGTATTCTGTTAGGAAATTAAATATATTAATAAGGACTGAACAGTAGCTAAGTTTTAAGATCTATGAGTGCTGAGTCTATTAACTTGTTCAGCTCAAGGATATATTTCTCAGAATGACTAATATATGTGCATGACAAATAGATGAATAGACAAATGAATGGGCAGACAATGAAAATGAGTAAATAGATGACTAAATGAATGGATGAATGAATTGATGGATGAATGGGTAAATGAATAAATGGATATATATGGGAAGAAAGAAAGAAAGGATGAGCAAATGAATGATTAGATGGATGAATGGGTGGTAGCCAATGAAGAATTAACATATACCATTTAGGAGTTGCATATACTTTCCATATTAGAACTACCGATTTTATTTCCCAGCTGCTATGTGACAACCTTTTTGATATTACAATAGGCTATTATAATGTAAGAAATTGAATTCTAACATTTTATACTATGCTACAAGCAAGTGAAATTATTCAGTACATAAGGAAAATGCACAATAAGATTCTACACTGAGGACTTTTCCAGGGATATGTACATTGCCTGGTGTAGCTGTCTATATTTAGCTGATGGCCTTTGGAGCTTTGGAGTTTTCAAAACTGTTGAAGTTATATATAGCTTTTATTGGGTGGTAGTTACATGCTAAGCCTCTGATGCTCAAAGTATTTCTAAAGAAAAATGCTTTCCTCCTCCAACCACTGGTATCTTGTAAAAAGAAGACAAAAATCAAGACACCAAATTATCTAAATAGTATTTGCTTATTTTTCTCCCACATTTTCCTTACTCTTAAAACATTGACTTTCATATTTGAATTTTTCTTCATTTTTTAATTTAGTTTTCTCACTATTTCCTTTTTTTTTTTTCATCGCTTTCTCATGCAGTAAGTGGGTATAGGGCATTCAAACAGAATTGGGGACTTCCTGGACCAAACTTGAGGTTCGTTTTGTTTCTCATTATAGTTATATACAAAGCTGGAAATAGCTTAACACGAGTGTTAATTAATGAGCTCCACAGACAATAAATAATGTCACTTTAATGATAAAGGACACTGCCTAGCATGCTAAAACTTTATCCAGATCTACAATACAATAAGAAAATAAGAAATCTTGCTCGAGTACAGAACAAGCCACCCAGAAGAGCGGGCAGGCAGCCTGCCTGTGGAATCCCCACTCCCTCAGTTGCCAAAGACACAATCTTCCACAATACCTCCCTCCTAACCCCATACCCTCATTGCCTTGTCCTTGCCCTAAGCTGAGGTAAAAACCTCTGGCTCCAGTGTAAGCCAGGACAGCCAAAAGAGCAGGTAGGCCAACCCACCCTGGAACTATCCTACTCCCTTGGTTCAGTTCCCACACACCTAATCTGCCACCATCACTTCCCTCCTGATCTCCACCTCCTATTGCTGTCTCCCATCCTCCAACTCCAGCAGCCATACCCTGTTCAAGTTCAATCCACACCAGTAGTCAGAAGAACAGGTAGGCAAACACAGGCAGATTCCCTGCTGGACCTGAGGGAAAGCTAGCTGCTGGAAGTTCTGGTAGGCCACCAGCCCATGGACTCTAGGTGCTCCTCCTTGCTGTGTCTCAGCCCCCAACCCTGACAGAGAACCCTCATTCAACTACATACTAGCCACTAGAGTTCCACTTAGGTTGACCACCTCTAGACCACCCCTAAACACTTTGTGACCTACCACCATATCTCCAATCCTCCTCCTGTCCTCGTCATCTTGTTTCATCCCTCAGGAGGAGGTGCCCTGCTGGACTAGAAACCACATTGGTCCCCACAATTCCAGTGTCCCAGCCCCCAACTTGGGTAGACACCCACTGATCAACAAGAGACTGTACAGGCCAGAAGGCCAGAGAGGAAACAGAAACAAGGAGCCAAAGAACAAAACACCCATCCATAAAAGACAAACTTAGAAATCAGCAGCTAGACCTCAAATCCAGATGCCTAGACACCAGCTTAGGAACACAGGCAACAACAGCCTGAGTAAAACCGTTTAAGACCTGACAATGGAAATAGAAACAATAAAAAAGAAAGCACAAATTAAGGAAATGATGGAAATAAATGGTTAGTTAGCAGAAACTAGAGAGAGAGGATTTATCAGCAGAATGCAAGAGATAGAAGAAAGAACCTCAGGCACTGAAAATATGGTAGAAAAAACTAGATACATTAGTCAAAGAAAATGTTAAATCCAAGAGGTTCATAACACAAACCATCCAAGAATTCTGAGACACTATGAAAAGACCAAAGCTAAGTATGTTAGGATGAGAAGAAAGAGAAGATCCCCAGTTCAAAGGCCCAGGAAATGGTTTCAACCAAATCTTACAAAAATTTTTCCTAACCTAGAGAAGAAGATGCATATAAAAGTACAAGAAGCCTACTGAACAGCAAATAGACTGAACTTATAAAGAAAGTCCCCTTGCCACATAATAACCAAAACAATAGGCACACAGAACAACAACAAGGAAAGGATACTAAAAGCTGCAAGGGAAAAAGTGTGAATTACACCAGACTTTGCAATGGAGATGTTAAAAGCCAGAAGGGCCTGGACAGATATCCAGGACTCTAAGAGACCACAGAGGTCAACCCAGGTTATTAT